TTTTTTTGAAAACAATCAATGTAAAAATGACTTTCACATCTACTGCCCCTAACTTGACTCTTCTTGTAGGGGTGTGGACACTTCCATAAGCTCGAAATAGTTGTTTGTAACAAATTTTCTGAAAACCTGCCCTCCTTTTAACTGCCTCGACTTTTATTAGTATTTCTGTATTCCTTTTCGCCTTTTCGAGTGTCGGACAAGTGGGTGCTGTGCTACAATGAGTAATTCACTAGTTATCGGTATAGAGATGCATTCCTTGATTCAAAAGATAGGCTATCAGTCATGACCGCAGCAAATATAGCTGCAGAGTTCATGCTTGCGGGTTGCCTACCGAAGTAAGTCTTGTATATAAATCTCAAGTAAATCTTAGTCCCCCATGTGCAACATCCTCAAAGCATAGCTTGAAAAGTTTTATTCTTCAGTTCTATTTTAGTCGGGTTCGACCAATAATCTTTCAAAAGCACTCTCTAAATCGTCCACTGCAAGCTGATACATTTCGACTCCCAAAGCTATATTATGCATAAAACCAGACCTTACTAAAGTTGAGAACTCATAATTACCGAATTTACACCTATTTCAGACTAAATCCTGGAAAAAAACGCGTGAAAAAAAACGAAAAATGCCCACACTGGAAAAATGTATCAACGGCTCAGCGGACAGTGCGGCTCAACGGTAAGCCGCGGAAGCGGAAAGCTTCGAAATGCGTCTGTCCCACGCGCCAGACACGCAATAAGGCGCGTTGTCGTTAAAGGGTTAATGGGTTGGTGTAGATGTTTGATCGGATAGTCACAGATTGTTATGTTCCCTTCAGGATGAAGGCTAATCCGCCGAAACGTCAGCCTGATGAGGCTTATTTACAAAGCTCGTGAAGAGTTCAAGAGAACAACAAACTCACTAATACATGTTGTTAATATTATAGTATTTGAATGGTTGTTCAAGGCGATGTAAGCGAAAATTTTAATATTCGATGTGGCGAACTTTTCGCCGTCAAACTTTTCATGCTCGAGGTGATTTGGTTCCTACTTAAGCCATGCAACATGACCATGACCCCAATCTCCTTATTTGTCAACGCATGCTTTTTTTACCATGGGATCTTTTGAAGAATATGCAAAACGCGGTATTTCTCTCAGCTTCAGGAGGCTGAAGAAGAGTGGAAAGGGTCATGCAGGCATACTATGCTACCATCCACTCTTATCGTTACTCTTTTGACATGATGCTTTGTCGTTTGTCCGTTGGCCACCTGGGTCAGGAGTTCTTCATGATGATTCAAAGATACTCAGCATTCCCTACCCTTGTTTCTCACTATAGCTTTGATAAGAATCCACTGGCGAAAGTCGATTAGAGGATCCATCTAGCACAGCATTTGGAGCTAAGAGCGCGTAAAACGCATATTATGAACAAACAAAGGAAGTTAGAGTGGGTGCGATCGCATAAAAAAGTGATCGTTGCGAAAACTTGTTATAAGGTGGTTGCCTTTTGGAGAGCGATGTAAGAGCGCTAACTGAGGGTAGTCGAAGTTTGCCTCCGCATATGTTCTCCTCGCGTTTTCGGGCTTTTCTCATCATGACTGCTACTATTAATACGTTATGTCACCTTCTCAATGCCTTTCTATCTTCCTTTCCCTCTTTCTGAGATTCATCCTTTCCCAACAAACTTGTTTAAAATGATCTTAAAAATTATCTTTATTATAGATCAGCAAAACCCCCTCGGCATTCGACGGAGTGCTCACAATACGACTTTCTTGGTTGGCTGATGCAATAACACTTTTGCTAAACTACGTCCGTGCCACTGGATCCAGAATAGATAGCGCCAGCTCATTTACACCTGCTACACCAGGCACAACGGGTATACCAGCTGGTACGTTAGTCTGTTGTGCACTCTATGCTCTCTATTAAACATTTCATAATTTTCCAGTTAAGGGGATATAAATAAACAGAGATCTACTGTTATGAAGTGGTTGCAGTAGTATATATGTACTTACAGTTAACCCTCTCGGTGTAGATTCCGGAGAGTCAAATTTCTAGTATGTGATCAGCATCTTAGCTGCATGTTAAAACTTTACCATATTGGGTACCATGAAATCATATTTAGCTTTACTTGTCGCGTCGTGGAAGCAGTGAACCTTGCAAGAAGGTTGGCACCTTAATGATCATAGTGCTGAGTGAACCTTTCGAAAGTTTAGCTGAAAATGTTATAATACGCTGCAGCCTTCGTGAAAGCGGGGTTATTTCTACCTAAAAGACAGTTTCTAGGTGAATTTGAAGAGTATCCTGAGACATCTTGACCAGCTGTGGCCATTCTTTTTTAGGAGACTGTTCCCAACGATTTCCTCTATTATTCTTTGAGGTCTGCGAGTTACTTCGTTTTGAGTTTTGGCTCAGGGTTTATGTTGGGCTTTGATCATGAAACCGTTACGCTGTGACGATTCAGGCTAATGACACCTTCACAAACTTCTTCTCCGTCACGGCTTGATTCTCCCATGATTTTCTCACTAGTTTTGAGACTTGATGCAATGACAGTGGGAAATTTCCATGAAACGTGCTTTTGTAATTTCCTTTCTATTGGGCTGCGCATAAGTCTTGCGACACTTTGTCAATCTCCCATGTTACTTTGCAGCTCGCGAACTTTGCCGAGGTAGCATTAAGTTCGAATGACGGACTCCTTAGAGAGGTCAATAACGAGTCTTTGTTTGAGTACTGCAAGAACAGCCCGAATTGAAAATTGTTCGTCAACCAATTATTTACTATCAGTACCTCCTGAAGCACTTCTTTGGGAAGTCAAAGATTACTAAACGTGCTGAATTTAAGGATAGTGCCTTCTATCATCCTACGCGTTTCGTTGGTTCGAAAGCCTCCAATTTGAGGACAGATGTGATGTGAATGTGAATGACGACTCGCCACTATTAAGGCGGTGAAATCCTCGATGTTCTGACTGCTTATCCAGAGGCTACCATGCGAAAGTTACTGATTGAAAAATATACGACAGTCAACAGAACTTGATACCATCCCGCCTTGCGAATAGTCTACGCAGCTTGGTAGCTCAATCATTCCCCAGCAGCGGGCAAGATCAACTGCGTAAATGCCTTTCATTTTTTTTCTTAGTTGTTCTCTCGTCCTCTCTTGATAACAGTTCTAAAGAAGATTGTTACTGCAGTCAACGCAAAATGCCCTGCATGGCCAAGCCAATATACAGAGAATGGACAGTTGCTGTTTGCGGAAGAGATATCAGTGCCGGAAACAAATCCTGGTTCTCACAGAAAGGAGTTTTTCTCTGCTGTTGGTGGAACTGCTCGCTTCAAGCTGCCCAAGTGGTGCTACGGTGGCAACCGCTAAGCGACCTCGGGAGCTCGTCGTCATCTGAAAACAGCAGATAACTCATTGGCGACCGCTTCTTGTAAGCGTGTCTGGCGTGTGGGACGAGCGCACTTTTCGCGAGCTGTCGTTGTGGCGCACGGCCCCAGGAGCAACCTAATTTCCTGCGCATCCATTCTTTGAGGTGAACTTCCATTGAAATGTTACGGAGGAAACACAGGAAATAGAGGACAGCTCAACACTGTCGAGAGATCGCTTTTTTCTTTCTTCTTTCTTGAGAGAAATGAGGCAACTGGAATCGAGAATGCAATATGAATTTTTCGAACAACACCCTCCAACAATGCAGTTATTTCTATGTCAAATGATACGCTAAACGTAAGAGCAGAGGGAAGCTCCCTTATGTATAAACGCTCTCAAAATCCAAAACATGAAACCGCTGAAGCACGAGATTTTTTTTTCAAAATTATTCGCTCAATTTCACAACGCAACGTCCCCTGCGAAAGTTTAAACATTTAAACTTTTT